GTCAAACAAGGCTCCTCAAATATACATTCGTTAACTATTAACGAATGAACATTTGGTGGGACCGAATAGACCCTAACCTCCAACCAAAATCCATTCGTTAACAATAACTAATCCGTTCTATCAGTGTAGATTGATGGCATAGTCACGCTATTTTCTCAGCTCAAGAAATTCTTCCTGCGACACTCGGTCATTCTTACTCTCAGCGCAGACTAGCATCCTCTCGACATCATTCATTTTATATGGCTAGAGATTTTGTGGCATATGTCCACAACAATTGTAGAATCATGACAATGTATTGTTGCCGTATACACACATTCGAGGAAGCTTAGCCATGAGTTATGGCGTCCGGCGTGGTGTAGGAGTCTCGTACGGTTGCCGGTGGTTAATTATACGGTGGGATTAGCTTGGCCTGCACCGCCACAAACCCAACCCCTATAATTTTCTGGAGAGTTCAAATCCGAGGGTAAAACGCCGTCGCGGCCCACCGCCAACGGACGCTTAGCGACACATGAGATATCGTGTGCTGATTGTGGGTACATTGGAATATCTTTAGGGGGGGGTGGCAGTGGGATAAGTGGAAAGTTGTTAGGAGAATTATAAAAACTGGTTTCATTTTGTGCGGATGCACGGAGAAAAAATATTTGGGGAGAGGGTCTCGTGCGGCTTGTTCTGTGAACTTTGCATTAATACGATGTTAAATATTTTCCACTGAAATTTTAACGAGTTTTATCATTGAAAATTCATAACTGTAAATTTTCAGTTTAATCGTTCTGGAAAAATTAATGGAAATTCAGAGAAATCTCGCCGTAAATTGCAGATTTCTCTTCAGAATTCGCAGGGAATTCTTTCAAATTTCGGGAGAATTTGGCAGGGAATATTTATTTTTACTTGAAAATTCATGGAAATTCACTTAAATTTTCAGAGAAACTTGAAATTCAAATTTGTCAATTAAATTGCGTGCGAAAATTTACAAAGAATCATGAATATGCGTCATTCAAATTACATTTTGCACAGAATCATTATTTTTTTTATCATTCTTTGTTTATAAATAAATAATTGAAATTGTTTAAACTTTCGTAAACTTTTTTTTATTCATAAAATCGATTTTTATTCATAAAATGATATTGCAGTGGAAAATGGATTGTTTATAAATTATTTATAATAAATGCTCGTAATTTTCAAAAAATCAAATTTTTCAATTATTGCATAAATTTTCCTCCAAAAATAAACGTTGTCATTTTTATTCAGATTTTTAAAATGTTTTGTAACAATTCTATATCGAGATTCTAAACTCAATTATTTAAATAAAAACTTTATTACAAACAATTTAAATAAAATCATGTGTTTTCAATTCAAATTAAATTTATTTCATTGAATAAAAATCTCAATATTTATGTTTGTAAATACGAATATTAACAATTTAAGTGAATTCACCAATAATAATAATAACAGTAATGATAATAATAATAATAATAAATGAAAGCGAAGAGGCTTGCGATTAATTATGTAGAAAATTCCATTCCACAATATTATTAATGCCCGGTGGCCTGGCGTAGTGGTTAAGGCCGTTGCCTCACAACGGATAGGTTCCAGGTTCGATTCCTGGCCGGGTAGAATGGTGAGATCTAACCATTTTTAAAGTCTTGATCAATCGCCATATAGTCTCATCAGACTCGAAGCGATATAAAATAAGCAAAAAAAAAAAAAAAAAAAATTCCACAATATTTTGAAAACCCTTGAAGTTTCTAGTTTTGTACATCGGATACTGTTTTTCCCCCTCGCAATGCTATCGAAGACTCCTACTACTGGAAACATTATACGCCATTTTAAAGAGAAGCAAATAACCTTTGAAACGATATACGCAGTATTTCGTTCCATTGAATTATTCAAAAGTTACAAACGTTTGAATTCAAATTTTATCGGTTACTATACTCGGTGGGATCGATAGATAATTTGAGCCTCTATTTCCTGAGTTTAATGTATTGGAAACATGTCATGTGTCATATTAAAGAGTTTAGAGAGTTTAAAATTATGTATATTTGATAGTTGCCATCTCTCGTGACAGAGGATGTGATGTTAATGGAGGAAATGAGTGGAAATTTATGGAGGATCATTGAATTATTGAGGTTATTTTGGGGAATATTGCAGATATCCCGTTGATTTTTCTTGACCACATCAATTAAATATTCCCGAATCAACATATTATGAAAATAGACAGTAATGAATAATAATTGGAAGTGACATTAAACTGGAGCTAAAGAATTTTTAGTTGAAGTGAAGAAATTGTCGATTCGAGGAAGAAAAATTCAACTCTTGAATCGAGAATTATTCTCCTTCATGAGCAACAAATATTTAATCAGATGTCCTGGTGGGCGATATTCTTCCGAAGCTATTCCGTTGGGAGTTGCCGAGTTTATCCGAATGAAGGGTCATTACATGCGTTAATAAATTCCCTCTCTTTCCCGTCTCAACCATAATCTCATTTTTTATTAATGGAGTCTTTATTTGGATCCAAGAGTTGCAGTTCCACTAAAATTCGCAGGAATTTCGTAATTGAAAATTCAGATTTGATGAAAAAATCAATGCACACTGTCAATTTCACTTTAACTATTCCACGAAAATTAATAGAAATGAGGGAAATTCTGGTGAAAATATTCCAGTTGGGGAATTCTTGTCTTCTTGCTCCAAAATTTCAAACTTATTATTATGTAATTATTGTATAATACATAAATTTATGGAGAATCATTGAATTATTGAGTTTATTTCGCGAAATATGACATGAATTAAATATTCTCGAATCAACATATATGAAAAAATCTTGAAAATATGATGACAGTAATCAATAATAATTGGAAGTGACGCTAAACTGGAGTACGAGAATCGTTAGGTGAAGTGAAGAAATTATCGATTCGAGAAAGAAAAATTCAACTCTTGAATCGGGAATTCCTCTCCTTCATGAGCAACAAATATTTAATCAGATGTCCTGGTGGGCGATATTCTTCCGAAGCTATTCCGTTGGGAGTTGCCGAGTTTATCCGAATGAAGGGTCATTACATGCTAACAAATTCCCTCTCTTTCCCGTCTCCACCATAATCTCATTTTTTATTAATGGAGTCTTTATTTGGATCCAAGAGTTGCAGTTCCACTAAAATTCGCAGGAATTTCGTAATTGAAAATTCAGATTTGATGAAAAAATCAATGCACACTGTCAATTTCACTTTAACTATTCCACGAAAATTAATAGAAATGAGGGAAATTCTGGTGAAAATATTCAAGTTGGGGAATTCTTGTCTTCTTGCTCCAAAATTTCAAACTTATTATTATGTAATTATTGTATAAGACATAAATTTATGGAGAATCATTGAATTATTGAGTTTATTTCGCGAAATATGACATGAATTAAATATTCTCGAATCAACATAGATGAAAATATCTTGAAAATATGATGACAGTAATCAATCATAATTGGAAGTGACGCTAAATTGGAGTACGAGAATTTTTAGTTGAAGTGAAGAAATTATTGATTCGAGAAAGAAAAATTCAACTCTTGAATCGGGAATTCCTCTCCTTCATGAGCAAGAAATATTTAATCAGAAGTTCTGGTGGGCGATGTTCCTCCTTCTGAAGCTGTGCCCGTGGGAGTTGCCCAGGCAGATCGAATTACCACTGCGAAATCTCCGATTCAATAGTATCTTAAATATCTGATGAAATGTGGAGGCATGAAGTACTTTGATGCTATCCAGACCGTTGGCGAACAAATTGCCTGGAAGTGAGGAGTTTTATGATTCCCATTAGGGTCCAATTGATGGCTGGAGATCCATCCATTATTGAGGCACGATAATCTCTTCATCGTACATTCCAGAAGTGAGAACACTCTCCCGAGTTGAGTAACGATTTTCCAGTTTAAGGACATGATCCTATCTCTGAAATCACCGCGTTTCGCGAAGTTGTTGCATATCGAAATATATCGAAACTGTCGCAGCGCTAATCCTCCGTTCTGATTGGTCAGTGGGTCACGTGAAGTTAGTCACGAAAAAAGAAGCGGTATTTTCAAATTCTTCAAACTTATAAATCATTTTTTGTGTCGTGATTGTTAATTTTCTTAGGTTTATCATGCGCGAAATTACTGAATTCTTCCTTCTGGAATTTTTTCTTATGTACTCATGAAATAATTTCATATTTAATATTAATTTGTCAATTAAATTGCGTAAGACACCTTTGAAAAAAATCATGAATATTCGGCGTCGTTCAAATTACATTTTGCGCAGAATTATTATTTTTTAAACATTTTCTGTTTATAAATAAATAATTGAAATTGTTTAAACTTGTGGAAACAAATGATTTTTATAGTGTAAAATTCATTGTTTATCAATTGTTTATAGAAACTGCTCGTGATTTTCATTATTGATCTATTTACTTGTCTCAACCATAATCTCATTTTTTATTAAATAATGGAGTCTTTATTTGGATCAAAGAGTTGCAGTTCCACTAAAATTCGCACGAATTTCGTAAGGAGTTGGCGAACTTTTGGCTAGAAAGAAATCAAATACTCTCATTATTGCGACAAATGAAAGAAACTTTAATTCTAGAGACGTTCGATTTCTCCCAATCAAATGTATCTCAAGAAGAGATAACTGGTATTTACTAAAAAATCACGTTTATTTGAAAATTAACACCCACATGTAGTTGTTTCAAACAGAATTCTCTTGATAAAATCAATTTTTTCTGTCAGCGTACCAAATTAACTGACTCTTTCCCACCCAAACAGCCCGATTCCTCGCGAAATTCCGCCGACTCTCGACATTAATCCAGCAATAAATATTGACAATCCCCGGAGTCAGACATTCATGAAATTAACAAGTGAGCATTTCCGCCCAGAACGATCATTCCTCTTCGTGATGCTCCCATCACACTCCCGTCACCTCACCCCATCCCCCTTAACCGCATTTTAATACCAATATAAATAGAAAATACTCACGAGGTGATAATTACTGTTTCAGATTGGACGCAGAAAAGTTCGAGCTCATCAACGTAAGTAGTTTCCATCATCATCACTGCATATTTTATTGATTACCCCGGCATTTCCCCTGGCAAATCCCAAGTCCCCACATTAACCTCGCGGAACACATTAAGTATAAATACATAATCCATCTCGAAACGCCAACTTCCAGTCTCGTCATTATAAATGTTAAAAATGTTTATCCTCGAAATATTCATCAAAATGCTGTTTTCCCAAATACGACTGCGCTCTCGGCATTTGTATGGTTGAGGCTGAATGCTGTACCGGGGGCTATGATATTCAGCCCAAATAACCGGAAATTACCGGTCGTGTTTCAATCGGGAGGACTCTGCGAATGCAGTGTTATCATTAACTCCCCATAATAGCTGCACCGTATGATAATCTGATACGGCTGTGTACAAGTTGGAATTTTCGAGTGTATTGCTGGGAATGCGCCCGGGGTTATGGACTATTTTTGGCCTGTAATACTGCCGTAATTTTTTTATTGACCGCAATTTTTTTCGACTCGATTAACTGGGATAAGTGGCGTTTAGAATTGAAGTGTTGGGGCATGTGTTCAGGACATTCTGGGGATTTTCCTCGAGTTTTTGCTTTCGAATGGAAGAATTGTATTCGTCAGTTGGGAAATTTCCAATTTTTTGGGTCAGGATAACTAATTTTGGCCTCAGGAGTTCGAATATACTATTTTTAGATCGTGTCCGGGTGTGTGCATGTAGTTTTTTTTACGATAACTGAAAAAATAATTGTTTAAATTGATCCAATTGCGATTTAAATTTTTTTTCGTTGAAAAATTTTATTTTGAGATCAGTATTCAGGGAACGGTAAAAAATTTAACGTTCGGGCAACGTTGGCGCGATGTCAGCTGTCAACGTTGGGCCAATGTTAGGTGCCAACGTTGGGGTAATGTTGGCTCTCAACGTTGGGACGATTTTGGCGACCAAATCGGGTTAATGTTGGAGTAATGTTGGCTGTCGATATTAAGGTAATGTTGGCTGCCGACGTTGGTACAATGTTGGGCCAATGTTGGCTGCCAACGTTGCAGTAATATTGAATTCACCGAATCGTTAAATTCAATTTAAAATACATCGTCACAGAAATTCCATTCGAAAGCAAATTACTAATTTATTAGCGAAAAATGTGTGGTGGAGTCTTTCTGCATATTTACCTCGAAAATATATTGATTATGTTGTGACGAAAGCAATTTCCCACTTGTTTGAGTTTCAATGCCATGTTTTCAGAGAAATAGTTCACTTGAATCATGTCAATTGTCAGTGAAGAGAACGAATTCATTAAGATTGAATAGTCATTTATTTCCATCAATTGAATTGTTGAAATTAATAGGACAATTTAGAATGAAGAGTTCTATTCGAATTAAATAATAGTTTTATTCAAATAACTTCTTATTAACATCAAATAATCCTCTATTCACATCAAATAAATTTTTTATAATTAATGATGAATTAATCAATCAATTGACATAATGAAAACATTTCCTTGAAAATTAATACAATAAATTCAAATTAAGATTTTTATTCCCTCCAAATGCATCATGTCTGCATCTGTTTTTACCCAAATACCCTCAACTCCAGAATTCATTTTTCTCCCTAAACAATCACAATCGTGTGCAACAATATAATTGTCTTCATTCATTCCAGAATACTATTCTCCCCGAGGCAGTGCACTTCTGGGAGCGTGCGCTCATGGTCCGGGAGACTAAAAATACTATAAGGTTGAATAGGTAAGACAGCTTTTGTGCAATAAAATTTCCCTCCCATTCATAATTCCCTTCCCATTTATACATTTTCCCATTATTTATGGCTAAAAATTGTGACAAAAAAAAACGAGGGACGAAAAAAAAAATTGTCCCTCGACAAATTTCTCGTGACGCATACCCACGGCATTTGTATTACTGGGATGCCGGTATGTGCTCGGAAAAGAGGGACATTTTTACGCCACCATTAGATATTACATCATCTACACCGCGATCACGTACAACCCACCGTTGGGATATTTTTCAATGAAACAAATTTCAACTGCCACCGTGATATTATTTTATTTTTTTTGAGGTGTCTTTCTGAACTGTTTGAGACTTTACTCTCTCCATAACCCTTTTTGCAACATTTTTTGCGCCGTTCTGAGACGGAAAACACCGTTGTGAAATGGCATTTTGTAATGGAGCACTTTTTCCCGCTATTACGGGGGGGAAATTCTTTTCAGCAATTTCTGGATGGTGCGAGAGTGATTCGGAGGGATTTTATCGCCTTTTTTTTACATATTTTTTGTCGAGTGGAAGCTTTGTAATCGTTCCAATTCAAGTTTTGGATTTTTTCGGGTTGAATTTCATGTTTATTTCATTTTTATTTCGTGTAGACCCAACAGCACATATCTAATGAAAAATCTCAAAAACCTGTTTATTTCCAGCCTAAAAAGTTCTTAAATTCAGAACATTTTCGAAGAACACTAAAAAAAATTCTTTTTCCACTCTTGCAGCAAAAAAAATGATAATATACTTCTAATAAAAAAGAAGTTATGAATCACATTGCGTTAAAATTTGGAAATTTCAATTATAAATAGTCAATTTTCTTCCATAACAGAATAAAAAAAATTCCAAATCAATTGATTAAAAAAACTTGAAAAAAAAACCCACTGTATCATTTGAATCATGAATTGTAACACCAAAAATTATACCCATTCGAAGTATTTTCCTCCCTCTGTAAACCCAGTAAATGAAAAAAAACAGAATTGGAAACAAATCAACTCGTGAAGCAGTATGGAACGTGCCATATGAAAATAAAGTTTGTTTAACTCAAATAAAGAATTCCTCTGAGTGTGCATTTATGCAGGCGTTCAATTACTTCTCATGAAAATTCCCGAAAACCACAGACAAGAAGTTTTTAATTTTCAGAAGCTAATTAAATCGCAAAAACCTGTTCTTAAATTGAGAACATTTTCATGTTTAATGTTAAATCTCTATAAAATCCGTAAGGCCTCAAAAAAACTAATTTCAAAAAAATTTCTTTCTCTTAAATTTCCAATCGTCATTCATAACAGAATTTAAAAAATTCCCAATCAATTGATAAAAAAATCTTGAAAAAAACCCATTGTATCATTTGAATCATGAATTGTAACACCAAAAAATTATACCCATTCGAGGTATTTTCCCTCATCTGTAAACCCGGTAAATCCAAAAAAGCAAAGTCGGAAAAAAAATCAACTCGTGAAGCAGTATGGAACGTGCCATATGAAAATAAAGTTTGTTTAACTCAAATAAATAATTCCTCTGAGTGTGCATTTATGCAGGCGTTCAATTACTTCTCATGAAAATTCCCGAAAAGCACAGACAAGAAGTTTTTAATTTTCAGAATCTAATTAAATCGCAAAAACCTGTTCTTAAATTGAGAACATTTTCATGTTTAATGTTAAATCTCTATAAAATCCGTAAGGCCTCAAAAAAACTAATTTCTAAAAAATTTCTTCCTCTTAAATTTCCAATCGTCATTCATAACAGAAATAAAAAAATTCCCAATCAATTGATAAAAAAATCTTGAAAAAAACCCACTGTATCATTTGAATCATGAATTGTAACACCAAAAAATTATACCCATTCGAGGTATTTTCCCTCATCTGTAAACCCGGTAAATCCAAAAAAGCAAAATCGGAAAAAAAATCAACTCGTGAAGTATAAGTGACGCTACAGCAATATGGAATATGCCAAGGGAAAGGGGGTAACGAGCACCAGGTAACATGCCTGGCTGGTCTGATACGGAAATAACGAGGGAGTCGAGGCTGCCCACAACACCGCCGCTTGTCTATAATACGACTATATCACTAGATATATCGTTCTGCACGTTGGGTGCTAGCAGAAAGGCACTCGGAAAATAGATTTTAGTGAATCGATACCCAGGCAATTCGCAAATGTATAGTCACCAATGTCAACAGAAATTCATGCAAATTATTCTGACATGCAGAAACAACTATCCGCGTATCAATACTAATTAATGTACCCGGTAGATGTATTTCTCTATCTGCGGTCGGAAATGAAATATCACATGGGGTTTCGATGCCATCGGAGTGGGCCGTGAGTTATTGAAAAGAATTTTTCAGCAATTATCGTTCGGGTGTAATCCTTTCGTCATCAGTGCTCCTCCTCGAGTGTTGCATAATTACTATTCATCGGAGTACACGAGTAACATGAAAAACTGGTGGAGCATAAAATGATACTCAATTCCGTTATTTGTGAGTCAATGGGAAGTCGATTGCTTTTAAATTTCTCAATTCAATGCGAATTTCTCGGATATTCTAATGGGCGAAATGAGTGCGCATTCAGTCGCGCAGAATGATCAATTGGAATTTTTTGTCTTTCAGTAGAAGAAAATAAAATTTGTTTTTAAGGAACAATCAAGTAGAGAATTTTCGAGATTTTGTATTAACTTGAGTTTGATTTTCATTTGCGTTTCTGTTCGAAATGAATGAATAGTTTTTTTAATATAAAAAATGCTTTCTTGATTTAATTAGTCATTATTATACGGAATGAATAAATTATTCATTTCACATAATTAAAACATTTTCATTGAAAGAAATAAATGAAATGTTCAGTTTTCAAGAGGAAAAAATGTGGGAATGATAAAATTTTGGATAAAGAGTTGACGTTCGTTATTTGAGTCGATGGCAAGTCGATTGCTTTTAAATTTCTCAATTCAATGCGAATCGATTTCTCGGATATTCTAATGGGCGAAATGAGTGCGCATTCAGTCGCGCAGAATGATCAATTGGAATTTTTTGTCTCGCAGTAGGAGAAAATAAAATTTATTTTTTACATAAAATTTAAATAGAGAATTTCAGATATTTTGAATAAATAAATAAATAGTTTTTTTAGTGTAAAAAATGTTTTGCTTAATTTAAACGAATAAATTCGTTTCATATAATTAAAACACTTTAATTAAAAAAATATGCGACTTGATTAATTTTGAACAAAAAAATTGTCGAAATGAATGAAAAAAATTGAATGGGGAATTTTATTTAATGAAAAGGCATCATTTTTCTATATTGATATTACCATGATAATAGTTTACTCATAAATTCGATGATAATACGTATCTTTGAGCTCGTTAGCGCGTCATGGACTATACTAGCTGTAAATTTGGATAATATTCCGAGAACTTCAATCATTCACGAAAATCCGTGGGAAATTTCGTACTGTGTACGTGACAACCGAATTTCTGCCCTTAACATAACTTGCGAACTTTGAATTAGTAGTGCCACACGGCGAGGAGAAACGACGCGAGAGACGAGACAAAACTTTGAGGGAACAAGGTGAGGGAGTATTTCTTGTCGCAGAGTTGAGACTCGTCTCGACTATGCAAGCTCGATATGACGAACGAATAGAGCGTCGGGAGGACGGTATTTGGAGCGGGTAAAAACAAACAGCGATTTTATAACGTGAATTTATTAGTGCTTCCGCTGTATTTTATCACAGACGTTTTAGCCTGAGACGGCAATTCCCTTTCAATCTCTTGTACAGTACTTTTAATTACCATCACTGCTACTCTCATCACCAGATCATCTGGCAATGGTATTTAGTTTTCATAATTTCTTTCACGTATCGTGTGACGGAACTGGTGTCAATCGACGCGAATGGACGGTGTGGGTGGGACTATAACATAAGGTATTATTTCAGTCGTATTCCAATTGATCCGGAATTTCATATGAACTGAGATCGATGAGATCAATTTTGTTGGAGAATTGAGGAGGGTATTAGGGGGTCCAGTGGTCTCTTTGTCTCTGAAATTTTCACGGTGAATTGTGTAATTGTATTATTCTCACGAATTTGTTTGTTGCGAGAATAATGCGGAGCGTAAGATCAATTTTTATATGTACATTTTTTCGTGAGGATGAATTATTGAGCATTTTATTTAGATGATTTAATCATTTGTCTGTTGAAACATATTATTATCTGCCTCTCGCAGTCATCCTTGAGGCTAATCAGTTGCAACAAGTTTATTGTACATAAGTGATAAATAATTCCCATAATTTCAATTCACATTCCTCATGATTTATTTTATCCCAGCGGTAGGGCTTTATTTTTGAAGTCGTGGTGCTGCAATTCAATATCATATCGTCGATTATTCTTCACGATAATACCGGAAACAGGTGTAATTGCAGAATTATGATTTCTCAATTCATTCAAATGTATGAATTTAAAGAGAAAATCCACATGTATTAGGATTAATTACAATGTAAATTATTATCATGAAAAATAGAACAGTGATGAAATGTCGTCTGATGTCGATCTTTAAAACATCAGAGTACAAGTGATTTTCATTCTTAAATCAATAATGTTGGAACACCAGTGACGATAATGAAAAAAAATTATCAAATTACAATTTTTTCTCAAAAACAAGATAACAACCGGTGTCTGTTAACCACCTCGAATGACAAAAATTACCGATGTTGTATTGCCTAATGCATTAACCCCCTGAACCCCGAGAATTCAGCATGTGCCTTGACAAGACACGGTAATGCAGAAAGCATGTCTCTCCATGATCCGTTCTCAGCGTATTAGCCTTGGCTCTCTCGCACGAAAGGATATCAGAAACACCACCCCGAAAGGGCTATCGTTTATCCGAACGCCAGGTTTATGGAATAATATCCTACCGCTCTATTTCCCCATGAAATTGAGTTGCATCTACAAAATAAAACTAAAAACTGGGGAATTATGAATAAGCATATTTTTAATTTATTAGCAAAAATATCTGTGTTATATAACGCCAAAGCGATTTCCCACTCGTTCTGATCTAAAACCACTCATTCCCGAGACGACAAAATTAACAATATAAAAATTAAAAATTAATTCACCACTTGCCAAGTCACTTCATCGATATCGATCCCCAGTCATCTCCATCTGTCGCAATGTTCCCTTTATTGTCCCCATCTCTGTCCATAAATCATGCAGAGGCACTTGTATGCCATCGCCTATTCATGATTATCGAGCCATCAAAAAGGTTTCACAAAAGAATTTCCATCCTTTCAGGAAATGTGAGAGCAGTCAAGTATTTGTCAAGGAGCATCATACATTCTGCATTGACACGTGTCGACCCATCACGATGTGTGGTGAAGTTAAAGTACCTGAGTCACATCTCGACGTAAGTGAAAATTACAATTCATCTGTGAAAAACGCCAGACAGTTGGTTTTGATGAACCTCGCAGGTCTTTTTATTTTTATTTTTTTTTCTAATTCCGGAGTTCGCGGCTGTAAGTACTCGTTTCAGCGGGAGAATTAATTGAATGCTTTCGATGAATTATTTTATTTAAAGTACCTGAGTCACATCTCGACGTAAGTGAAAATTACAATTCATCTGTGAAAAACGCCAGACAGTTGGTTTTGATGAACCTCGCAGGTCTTTTATTATTATTTTTTTTAATCCGGAGTTCGCGGCTGTAAGTACTCGTTTCAGCGGGAGAATTAATTGAATTCATTCGATGAATTATTTTATTTAAAGTACCTGAGTCACATCTCGACGTAAGTGGAAATTACAATTCATCTGTGAAAAACGCCAGACAGTTGGTTTTGATGAACCTCGCAGGTCTTTTATTATTATTTTTTTTAATCCGGAGTTCGCGGCTGTAAGTACTCGTTTCAGCGGGAGAATTAATTGAATTCATTCGATGAATTATTTTATTTAAAGTACCTGAGTCACATCTGAACGTAAGTGAAAATTACAATTCATCTGTGAAAAACGCCAGACAGTTGGTTTTGATGAACCTCGCAGGTCTTTTTTTAATTTTTTTTTATTCCGGAATTCGTAGCTGTAAATACTCATTTCAGCGGGAGAATTAATTGAATTCATTCGATGAATTATTTTATTTAAAGTACCTGAGTCACATCTCGACGTAAGTGGAAATTACAATTCATCTGTGAAAAACGCCAGACAGTTGGTTTTGATGAACCTCGCAGGTCTTTTTTTTTTTATTTTTTTTTTTAATTCCGGAGTTCGCGGCTGTAAGTACTGGTTTCAGCGGGAGAAATTAATTGAATTCATTCGATGAATTATTTCATTTGTATTGACAGGTCTGCCGCACGTGCAACGCAACTGGTCACAAGTGCGGTGTACAGAAGGGTAGTGTAGCTGGTGAGGGTATAGATGGTGCAGATTTTGTGTTTTACGTATCGGCTTTGCAGTCAGAAAGATGTCACAACGGGCTAACGGTGGCTTATGCCGCCCACTGCCAGCAGGAAGCTGCACTCGATAGGTGAATGCATTTGAATAGAAGCGAAAAAATATATTTCAGCAGTATTTTCAAGAGAAATTGGAAAACTCATGTGTTTCCTTCAATGAAAATGCGAAAAAAATAATTCATTCAGTTCAGAAAAATCATTTATAGCATTTAATTACGTTCTATTTGATTTCAATGGAGTTTATTTAATTAAAATAAACCATTCTTAATGAATAATTTCTCGTTTGGTTGAAGTAAAATTCTTCGTTTTAAAATTTTTTAAATTTAATCAACAACATTTCAATCTAAAAGTTTAATTATATGAAATTAATAATGCACTGATTCTGAATAAATTGTCTGTAGAATTAAATGGACGAGTTATTTTATTTGAATGAAGTTTATTCAATTATAATAAATTTTTTGGAGAATTTAATTAAAACATTTTAATTGAATTAATGGAATTAAAATAAATCATGTAACAAATCCTTCCGTGAAAATAGTTCAATTATAGGAAATCAGTAATTCACTCAGTTCAAATAAATTCTTTATAGAATTAAATTATGATTTATTTGATTTAAATGGAGTGCATTTAATTCAAATAAACCATTTTTAATGAATAAGTTCGCGTTTCGTTGAATAATTAACAATATTTAAATGTAAATGTTTGATTATATGAAATAAATAATCCATTGATTTTAAATAAATTGTCTATAGAATTGACTGGACGATTTATTTAATTTAAATCGAGTTTATTCAATTCAAATAATCCATTTCTCGCTAATAAATTCGTTTTTTAAAATGAGAAAACATTCATTTATATTTTTTAAAAACAGTTTATTGTGAATAAAAATGCAACTAAAACTGCTTCATTTAAATAAATTGAAATGGACGGGAAATAATAAATTTTCATAAAAATGGATCTTCATTTCACGTAATTTCCAGGCAAAATGAGAGCTTCAAAAAATTTTCAATCAAATTCACCAAGATTTTTCATTCATCCACTGAATATGCACTGAGGGGGGGGGGGGACCCCACATTAAAAAAAATGACAATTAGATTGAATTTGAATGGCATGATAAAGCGCCGTTCTTCTCTCCCTCAATCTCTCTTCTCTATCAATCAAGTGAATGCACGGAAAACTGCAATGTGCCATTTTCTACCATTGCATGGGCTTAACGAGCTCCGCATAAGAATTCAAATGGCCTATTAACATAATTCAAATCTTCTTGTGCAATTTTATGTTTCCCCGAGTGAGATAATTAACCAGTAAAAGATTTTTACAACATCACAATAATATTCAGGGCGAAATAATTGAGAAAAAGTTGATTAATATAATCAAATGATTCATTCCACTGGGTTTCCACGTTCATTAAAACTTATTATCGGTTTTCCTCTCACTGAATCCATGGCCATGGCTTCGGCCTCTTTCCTGTTAATGGAAAATATCCCTGGGAATTATACTGGTTTTAATCCAACTTCATTCATTATTTCTTTATGATCATCAATAATTACTTCGAAAATTGAGAACTCTTGATAAGGGGACGAATTGTATGAAGAACATTCATTGTTGTAAAAAATTTCAAAATTTCAGAATTTTAAAATTGTAAAATGAAAAAAAATTATTTTTTTAAATAAAAAATTGAATATTACAATTTTGAATCTTATCTCCTCCTGTTACATTCGACCCATGCAAGGCCCTTATGACCCTTATAGCCCTTGATGAATAAATTTAAAATGAAAAATTAATTTTTCAAATAAAAAATTCATTTTTTTAACTAAAAAATTGAATATTACAATTTTGAATCTTATTCTCCTGTTACATTTGATCCTTGCATGGCCCTTATGACCCTTATGGCCCGTGATGAATAAATTAAAAATGAAAAATTGATTTTTTTAAATAAAAAATTCATTTTTTTAACTAAAAACTTGAATATTAGTATTTTGAATCTTCTCTCCTCCTGTTACATTCGACCCTTGCATGGCCCTTATGACCCTTATGGCCCTTATAAATGAATTTAAAATGAAAAATTAATTTTTTCTAATGAAAAATTCATTTTTTTATAAAAAATTGAATATTACTATTCGGAATTTTATCTCCTCCTGTTACATTCGACCCTTGCATGGCCCTGATGACCCTTATGGCCCTTATGAATGAATTTAAACTGAAAAATTAATTTTTTTAAATGAAAAATTCATTTTTTATAAAAAATTGAATACTCCAATTCTCAATTTGATTTCCTCCTCTAACATCGGACCCTTGCGTGGCCCTTATGACCCTCATAGACCTCATACCCGGTTTCATTCATTTTTTCCCGATGCTCATGAATAACTTCCAAACATTCGAATTCTTATTTCTAAAAAATCATGACGGAAATTCGTTTCCATTCATTCCTCGAAATGCCACCGCCCTTGATAATCTCACGTACAACCGGAATAACATAATTGGCACAATACCCCGCGAAAAAACAAATCGATACGAGTGATAACAAATCTTGGATTTACAGACCAATCGCAGGTCACGCAAACCTCTGTCCTGGTAGTATCAGTACGAAGCCCCAGGAGTTGGATACACTGCTGAGTACAGTGAAACACGAAATTCTACATGCACTTGGATTTTCCGTGAGCCTCTATGCATTTTATCGGGATGAGAATGGAGAGCCTCGTACACCCAGACGCAGTGAAACTGGAAAACCACCGTTGAATGAGAAGTAAGGGTTTTGGGAAATTGTTGAGGTGGGGCACAATGAATCATAAATTTTCGATATCTTCAAAGTGAACGACATGATGAACAATTCGAATTTTTAAAAAACTCCCATTTTTTATCAATATATTGTGTGTGGAAACCAGAATTCAAGTCAATCCATAACAAATTCTGGTAATTGGACTAAAATTGGACTAACATTCAATTTTTCATACAGATTCGACAAAATTGATATTCTTCCAAAAATAAATTTTTCAACGATCACTCAAAAAATTGTCATCGAAATGGAATTAGTCAGGGCTAAAAAAATTGATAACAACGCCCTCTTGATTCTCTCAGAATACGATGGGGGTCGCACAATTAGTTGCGGAGTTACAGCACATTGTTTATGCGATTTGAAAGAGAAAATGGGTTTTTTCATGATTACTGAAAGAATCATCAGTAATAGCAATTAAATCAGGGCTTGAAAAGTACATTTCAATGCCTTCTTAATCAAGTTGAAAAATTGTGAGAACAGCATCATTGCTTATCAAGTTACACAATACCGTCATGAGCTTTTTATATCAAAATCTCTATCTCTATTAAACTCAGGTACCAGTCTATTATGTTGAATACTTATTCATATTGATTCATGGTCCCGACTAACTTCTGACAGAACCTGCGTTAAACTCTGTCTAAATCCTGACTAAACCCTGACTAAATCCCGGCTCTACACTGATTAAACCTTGATTGAGCCTTGATTAAACCCGGACTGAAAACGAATTCGAGTCTTGAGAGGGTCTGAATGTAGAATTATTTGACAGAACGAAATAATGCGCAAAATTTTGATGACATTTCAATTGATGATAGTACTGTGACATGAAAAAATAGAAGAGAATAGTGAAATAAGAATTGCAAAAAAGAGAACCCATTCGGAAGCAAATTGCTAATTCAAAAAATGCCGTTGTTCACCTGTCTCCCCTTAAATAAATGTCATCTCTAAAATGCTAACATCATTAAAATTCTGGTCCTTGCCACCCTTTCACATCGACGATCGACTCGAAATTTCGCATCGTACCCCATTCCTCCCCCATTACTAAAGTTTCAACACGAACAAATCAAGCGAACGAATCTATTTGCAGACTTCAAACGCATCAATGGAGCGAGAGTACAATCAAAACTGTAGTAAGGCCACAGTGGCAGGTGCGCGGAGGTACTGTTGAGAGATCGATGCAAATGATGGTTACGCCGCGAGTTAAGGAGGAAGCTCGTGCACATTTCGAGTGCCCTCATTTAGAAGGGGCTGAACTCGAGGATCAGGGTGAAGATGGTACTGCTCTAACACACTGGGAGAAGAGGGTATTCGAAGTGAGTTTTCCATCAATTGGACCGTAATATCGAGCTGCATAAAAGGCATAACAGCCGGTTTTATGATTCTAGAACGAAGCTATGACCGGCACTCACACACAAAATCCAGTTTACTCGCGAATAACTCTGGCACTAATGGAGGACACTGGGTGGTACAGCGCTAATTATTCAATGGCCCAGGAGCTCAGCTGGGGACGAAAATTGGGCTGTGAATTCGCTATGAAATCCTGTAAAGAGTGGATGTCGTTGAGGACCGCCAGGCACTCGTGAGTATTCTGTTGAAATTCTTGGGGATGTTTATTTTTCTTTGTGAAGGTGAATTTGGAATGTTCTTTTGAATTTTTTTTAATGAATGCAAATAAACACCCGATGAATGGAATTTTTTTTATCATTTGAATTGGAAGATGATAATGAAAATAATGAGGAGTATTTGTGCTTGGAATAATTTTAATACTTCTGAAAAAAATTGAGATTATGGCATTTAATTGAATAAAGGAATTAGATTGAATGAGGATCAAAATTCAATATCAAAATTCTTACTCGTATCTCCTTGGATATTCCATAAAATTTTGAAATTTTCAAAGATTGTTGATATTTTAAAAGTTGCATAAATTTTTTGAATCTAAAGAATCTGATATTTTCCAAAATTCACAAAATTTTGAAAATTTTAGAAATTTTAGAAATTCAGAAAATAAAGTCGGCCCTGACTGACACAGAACGTGTAAATAAAGCCCTTGCAAATATTTTCTTTTCATTCCGCTCTCAATCAGAACGGAAAAAACAATGAAGTGAGTACAGCAGGAATATCCAATGCAAACATGTAATATTTGAATTACCGTAACAATATACAATTACAGAGGCAAATCGATCTATCCCTTCTGCAACAAAGTGAAACACGATCCTCTGCACACAGTGTGTACGGACGATAGAAGCTCCGTGGCCCTTTGCAATTTAGTCAATCATCCTCAGCCTCTGCCAAAAAAATATCAGGTAAATTGGAATTTCTCCTTACTAATCACGACCAGCAATAACGTACGATTACCCCAAAACATTTGCATTTCAGAATTTCGACCAAATACCTCACGTGACACCGGGCATGGAGGAATCGTACGGTGGCTCTGTTAATTTGGCGGATTACTGTCCCTTCATTCAGGAATTTGCATGGAAGGCAGATGAAATTGTTGTCAGGGGATCGCACTGTCTCTACGACGAAAATAATCCCCGTATGTTTATCCTCATGTTACATGTCGTTGTGTACGCGATATTATCCCAAAGCATAGTTCTGAACATTTCACCTGGATGATTAGACGTGGGGCGAATGTGACAGGAGGGGATAAACCTCGTCTGTGACGCAAAATGCAATTTTGAAATTTGTACAGAAATTTTTGAAATTTTGAAATTTAACGGAATGGGGTGAGGGACAAAATTCAATAATGAAATTCTGATTATTCTCTTTTGTTAACATTTCAAAAATTTCAAACATTTCAGAAATTTTAGAAATTTGAGAATTTTTCCAAAAATTAAAAAGAAATTAAAAATCATGGAAATAAAAAAAATCCGAAATTTCACATTTCAAAAATTGAAAAAATTGAAAATTTTTAGAAATCTGAAAAGAAATTTTAAAATTTCTGAAATTTTTCAAAATTTTCAAAATTTCAAAAACTAAAATTTTTCACAATTAAAAAAATTGCCATAATTTTAGAACTCTCAAAATTTTTACAAAATTTAAAAATTGGTGGAATTTCAAAAGTTTAAAAGATTTTGAAAATTTAAAAAATAAAAAAAATCTAAAATATGAAAGAAAAGGGTCAGGAGGGTCAACTATAACAGGAAATGAGAGTCAAAATTATGGAATTGAATTTTCGAAAAAAAATCTTATATTTTTTAAACTCATTTGTTTTAATTTTCTAAATCCCTGCATTTTGAAAATTTTTAAAACCTCTGAAATTCTGTGTTCATTCATAACATTTTTGCTGCGCGACAAATACGCAGATGTCCACCAGCCCCCGAACTAAATTGATAACCTTCAGTAAATACTCCCAGAAGGATGAGAAATAAAATATACGTCCTCCCTTTAGATATTCGTCTGTCCTTTTTTGATACGACATTCACCATTATTGATATCCATTTTTTTCCGAGTCCATCAATCACGTATGATAAATCGATTGTCCCCCAGATCCCGAGAAGAATTTCGCCCTGGAGCATTACGGCCGCCACTCGAAGTGTTTTGAACATACGAACGACATGTGGGAGGAGAGGACGTGTAAGCAGGCGAGACAGTGGCAGCATTGGGGGTCTGGGTGTTATCGATATAAGTGCGAAGGGGGAAGACTGCATATACTGGTACGTAAGCTGAATCCATAATGTACCTCGCTTTCCATTCATCCGTAAATCAATTGAGGTATTTTTCGTGGAATTGGTAATATTGATGTTGCAGGTGGCGAATCATACATACACGTGTTACCATGCTGGTCAGGAACTTGCGATAAGGATTATTCAGAGTGGGTGGCTCCACAAAGGGGCCATAATATGCCCCCCCTGCAGAGATATCTGTCAGGTAGACTTTCAGTGCATTTATCAGATGTTAAGATGACGTATCGTCTCGACGACCTGAGAATGTAATGTTTGTTTATGATTTCCAGGCGGAACTTCAGGCTAAGGGAGAATGGTGCAAGCCCGGCGACGAGCACCCTCCAGCAACATTTTATCACAGAGATATTTTAGCCTGTGGCTGCAATTCCCTGTCAATCTCTTGTATAGTACTTTTAATTACCATCACTGCTACTCTCATCACCAGATGATCTGGCAATGGTATTTGGTTTTCATAACTTCTTTCATGTATCATGTGACGTAACTGGTGTCATTCGACGCGAATGGACGCTTGTCACATTGGTTTTTGGTTCTGCACTGGTGGCACTATAACATAAGGTATTATTTCAGTCGTATTCCAATTCGTCCGGAATTTCATATGAACTGAGATCGATGAGATCAATTTTGTTGGAGAATTGAGGAGGGTATTAGGGGGTCCAGTGGTCTCTTTGTCTCTGAAATTTTCACGGTGAATTGTGTAATTGTATTATTCTCATGAATTTGTTTGTTGCGAGTATAATGCGGAGCGTGAGATCAATTTTTATATGTACATTTTTTCGTGAGGATGAATTATTGAGCATTTTATTTAGATGATTTAATCATTTGTCTGTTGAAACATATTATTATCTGCCTCTCGCAGTCATCCTTGAGGCTAATCAGTTGCTACAAGTTTATTGTACATAAGTGATAAATAATTCCCATAATTTCAATTCACATTCCTCATGATTTATTTTATCCCAGTGGTAGGGCTTTATTTTTGAAGTCGTGGTGCTGCAATTCAATATCATATCGTCGATTATTCTTCACGATAATACCGGAAACAAGTGTAATTGCAGAATTATGATTTCTCAATTCATTCAAATGTATGAATTTAAAGAGAAAATACACATATATTAGGATTAATTACAATGTAAATTATTATAATGAAAAATAGAACAGTGATGAAATGTCATCTGATGTCGATCTTTAAAACATCAGAGTACAAGTGATTTTTATTCTTAAATCAATAATGTTGAAACACTAGTGATAATAATGAACAAAAAATATGTAAATAGTTTATTAAGAAAGAATTTGAAAAAATGACACAATTCGTATCCAATATTTCTCATCAAATTTAAAATGTTGAGCAATTCAATTTTTATTTCCCTCATCGTTTCAATTGTGAAATTATCGATAAACATGAGATTATTGAAAGTTCTACATCAATTTTTGTAAATAATCATTGAGAAAGACTGGAAAGTATTCTGCATTTGTTACTCAATCAAACTGAAATTATTTTAAAAATCTATTTATCATTGTTTAATGTGTGAATTTCATTTCGAAATATTACTTTTCAAATTTTAATCACGAATCGAAGATGAAAAAGAATGATTAAAGAATGCATGAGCATGAAATGTAAAATGAAAACATTCACTCAAGAAGCAAATAATTGTAATTCGTGAATAAGAAAACCCCTCAGAACGAGTAATGGATTGTGAAGAGTGAATTTCCTGTAAAAACGTCAAGAGTGAGTATGAGCGACAGCCTGCACCATTCGAAATAATTTTGACATGCGCAAAATCTACATTCCATTAAAGTGCAAGAGAGCGTGTTGTGCCATCTTCGTAGAATTTTTTAAACTTTAATAAACAAGATGAAAAAATGTATTATGTATAAATTTTGCGCATACACGTCAAATGTTGAGACGTTTTTTACCAAACAAAGAAATGTAAACAATTTAAATAAATGAGGTATAAGTAAGACAGAAATTGTGTTCATTGATCCCATCAGATGGACAGTATTTTTTTTAAAGAAAATTCAATCATTTTCTTAATAAAGAAAACAGAATTGAATACCATTCTATGAAACATGAATAAACGAATCATAATTGTCCAAATCATTTGGGTCAGAGGAAAATAGAATAATTCTACTTTCGTAATATTGCGTTTACTAAGGTTTTCTTTGAACAAAGTCGATTAGAATTAATAGCTAGAATTATGAGATTATCTCACATTTTTTACGTTAAGGATAGGAGAATCTGAACGCAATATAGTGAAAATGATGATCGATTTTTTCACTTTGAACAAATAATATTAATATCCAAATACAAAACTTCTGATATGAATAAAAAGAAGCTGTGACTCAATATTCCAAATGAAGTTTTAATTTTTAATTTGGTGCTGAAAACACGAGATGACAATATTCTAAGCACGGAATTATATTGATGAGATGAACAACAGATTAATTGAATTACCGTGTGAACTAACTAAAAATTGATAACAGTGTGGGCACGCACTTTTACCAGAGTATCAACAAACATTGAATTCCAGAAATTCACACTCTAAAGTGTGTTCTAGAAGGAATTGAATTGTAATTATGATTAAAATCTTATCCAGTGAGCACAGAAATTAGAACATGGGCAGATCATTTATTGCAATATGAAAATTTAACAGCTGATAAATTGCGGCATATGATTATCATCCGTCCCATTGTTTTTACAATGATCATAATTACAAACAATTATTACCTGATATCCCCATTAATTTACCTGCAAGTATACGAATTTATTAATTTCTACCCAAAATCGCGTTAAAACTCACGAAAAAAGTTCTCAAAAAATTTTATTTGAACCGCCTTATTTTTCTGAATACATTATCGTCCAATCCCTACGTAATTACTACCGTTGTTATCACAAAGCCTATCTCCAAGTGGAAATCAATAAAATATCATTACTTAAATTGAGCATTTAATTAGCCACACCCCATTTACATCATCCAAAGTATAAACTCCGTCAATGTACATCGCAGCGCAAACCCCATCAACATGAGCTCAGCAAGTTTCAAAATAAATCTCCTCACCTTCCGAGTGACTCAAAAAGTTTTACTATTAATGGGCCTTGCGCCTTACACCGTCACCATCGAAGCCCCTCCCGCGAAGGAATCCGCATCGCCCATCAAATTCTCATTTTCAAAAAGAGGATGTGTCTATAACATTGCATTAGTCATACTAATAATCATAACAGTGATCACGTTCGTCCCAGAAATACTTCAATTCGAGCATCCCAATTACGGTCCCGTTGTGAAGTGCATCGACATCACCCTTATCATAATCGGCAACACAATCGCAGTAACTACTATTCTGATCTGCTGCAACTATCAACAGAATATTGTGGACATTGGTAATCAGCTGGGGGAATTTCACCAGAAATTTCAGGTCAAATCGTCGCAAAAGTGCAAAAGTGAATTAACAAATTGCGAGTACTCTGTGATAGTCTTCATCTTCTCACTGTTTTCCATCGGGTTGGTGATCGCTAGTTTTTTCCTATATCAATCTCTCGTAATTTTATCGTCTCTCCCCTGTGCGATAATTTCCGCCAGTTTCATCGTTAAATACAGTTTGATCATCAAAATTCTTAAGGGAATGATGAAATCCATGAATGAAGCGATCTGTCAAATGGACAAGTGTCTCATAGTGTTCCCAGAGGACTCATTCTTCCCAGAAAACATTGGGAATCCCCGGTTAATCGTGCGGAATTTGGCCGCTGTGAGACAAGCGCGCGCTGTCGTCTGCAAAATTTCTTGTCAGATTGCCGACATTCATGGGCTACCAAGTTTGTCCATCATTTTCTACGCTTGTTGTGGGTGCGTTAGCGCAGTCTACTTCCTCATAACTAATTTCATGATTCAACAGAGATTGTTTTTGAACGTGGCGTCAATGACTGGTATTCTATGGATTCTGTTGATCATGTATCCGATTGTCCTTTTGAGTGAGACTGTCAAGAGATTCAATGCCGAGGTGATTATCCGTATTAATTCTTTATGCTTTCCTCGATGATTTTGATGATTTTTCTTGCAGATGGAGAGAACAGCTGGTCTTATTTATGATTTTCGGGGAACTAGGGGATTGAATAAGGACATCATTTATGAGGTAATTATGCGGAGATTGTTTATCGATGATTTCTTGATTGTTATTTTGGTTTTTCAGTTGAACGATTTTGCTGTTGAGTTGCTACACAGAAAAGTTGTGTTCAGTGCTTACGGATTTTTTCCGCTGGATTGTACTTTACTTTATTCAGTAAGAATAGTTGATTAGTGTGGTCGTTCCTAGGGGGATGATCTATTGTTATTGGTTGGTCGCAAGTTGATCGTTGATCGATTTATTGTCGGCAGTTTATCAAGATCGATGATCAATGAGTGGTCAATCATTGGTCGATTGTTGTCGATTGTGGGATCATTGTTGATCACTGGTCGCTTGACCGTCAATCAATAGTTGATCGATTGATAATCGGTTGTAAGTCGGTCGATGGTTGTTGGAGGCCATCACTGGTCGATTCATTGTTGATCACTGGTCGTTTGCCCGTCAATCAGTCGTCGATCGGTAATTTGTCGTAAGTCAGTCGATGGATGGTCGATTCATTGTTGATAACTGGTCGGTTGACTGTCAATCAATCGTTGATCGATTGATAATTGGTCGTAAGTCGGTCGATGGTTGTTTGAGGCCATCACTTGTCGATCGATGGTCGATTCATTGGTGATCGCTGGTTGTTTGGTCTTCAATCAGTCGTCGATCGCTGGTCGGTCATCAACTGGTCGGAAATCGGTCGATAGTTATTAGAGGTCAATCAGTGGTCGATACTTGGTCGATCAATTGTCGATCACCGGTCGTTTGACTGTCCATCAGTTGTCGGTCGTTAGTCGACCCACCGGAATATGCTCAGATTTGAGAACGAATAAGAATTTCATATCGAATATTTTCCTCTTAAAGATATTTGGGATGGTTGTGACGTATCTGATAATCCTGCTGCAGTACAAACCTCTTGATGTCTCAACACATTAAAACAGAATGACAGCTCAATTCTATCCATTTATAAGATATCATTTTTGAAAATTGCGTGATCACAAATTTTCCCGCCAAAACTTCCTTACCGATCCGTCTTCGTCAGCCAGGAATTCCTTTTATCGACATGTGTCAACGATAACATGTCTATCATTGCTCCTTGATTACCAACGACGAGTTTAAAAGCAAAATCTCGGCGGAAAAAACTGTCACCGGGCCAAACATCAGCTGACGAGACACCCAAATAAAAATCAGTATTGCAGTCGTATGCGTCACATTTCATAATGAATCCCATCGTGAGGTCTTGCACAAATTTGGTGAGTGAATTATTTCAAAGCTTTTTCTCTATTCATTCGTGGAAGTAGAACGTGTCTAATAATTTTTTTCAGGTTAAGCCCAGCAGCTTTCTGAGAGCAATAACAACTGGAAATGTGACTTCAGCTGGATTTGATGATCTGCATCATCCGGAGGGTCATGAGCCGGGTATCCCTCCTTACGTGGAGCGTGAAGCCGAAAATGTTGATTTGAAACGCGCTAGGTATTTTTTAATAAGATAGGACATATATTTTTTTTTATATTTTCGTTTTTTTTCAGTTGTTTTACTAAAAAGTTTTGGTAATGTGATAGAATACCCTCTCCATTTGTTTGAAATCAAATTCAAAATTTCCTACAGTTAAATATTAATAAGAAATATTGAGAATATTTTACTTCAAATAAAGACTTCTGCCAAAATGTCAAGAACTAATAAAACGGCCAAACGTCACACCTGAAAAAATTTAATCATGATTATCTTACCTCTATGGCCACTCTCATCACGAGAATAATATTTTTTCCAGATTAATCTATCAATCCCGTAAACGTGGAATGCTGGAGAACGGTCTTCTCCTGAGTACCTTCGCCAAAAAGTACCTGAATGAATTCGACGATCACAAGCTCAGCCTATACGATCGTCTAATTAACATCCCCTCCAACGACTGGGACATCTTCTACTGGGCGGTGGGTGTCAAACCAACCCCCGAAGAATTCAACAACGAAGTGATGGACCTCCTGAAGAAGCACGTGAAAAACGACGACAGACAATCGCGAATAGTCCAGCCCGATCTCTACTAAATACCCCAGTCAACACATAGTATTTATTCTTTCACTAGAATGTATCTTTATTCATTAGGTAGAAAAATATACAACATTGAGTCTTAAAATATAATCGAACAATCCCCATCTACTATTGTACACATCAACTCTTGGTCTTCGCTAAACTTCCAAAATTATCTGTATTCAACCGACTCTTCCAAACAAATAACGAACGAAAAAAAATGAGAGCTCCGACGATCCTGAATTCAAAGCGACAGACACCCCAAAATCGCTTTCATCTTACACATCACACCTCGAGCCCCACTATCTCATAAGACGACAACTAAATAAACCAGAGTCAACAAATACCACTGATCCTCTCACTATGACATATCTTTATTCATTAAGTAGAAAAATATAAAACATTGAGTCTTAAAATATAATCGAACAATCCCCATCTACTATTGTACACATCAACTCTTGGTCTTCGCCAAACTTGCAAAATTATCTTTATTCAACTGACTCTTCCAAACAAATAACGAACGAAAAAAAATTGAGAGCTCCGACGATCCTGAATTCAAATCGACAGACACCCCAAAATCGCTTTCATCTTACACATCACACCTCGAGCCCCACTATCTCATAAGACGACAACTAAATAAACCAGAGTCAACAAATACCACTGATCCTCTCACTATGACATATCTTTATTCATTAAGTAGAAAAATATAAAACATTGAGTCTTAAAATATAATCGAACAATCCCCATCTACTATTGTACACATCAACTCTTGGTCTTCGCCAAACTTGCAAAATTATCTTTATTCAACTGACTCTCCCAAACAAATAACGAACGAAAAAAGAATTGTGAGCTCCGACGATCCAGAATTCAAATCGACCCATACCGCAATGGATCCGCGAGGTACTGTTTATTCTGCGTGAAATCAACGAGTCCCGGTCCCTTCGGCTGCGCCTTTCCCCTGGCCGCCCTCCCCCCTCTCTTCCCCGAGTACCGCCCCCTGCCTGAACCAGAAGTATTACGTTTGTACCTTTTAGCAGCATTCCCCTTGGCCCCAAAACTCTTTCTTTTCCTACCTCCACCGGACCCAGCAGTCGAGCTAGTCGCCGCTGACCAGCCGTCCTCAAAATCGCTCTCGTCATTGACCTCCTCCTCCTGCGCAGCTTCGATAGCCTCCAGCACCGCCTTCTTCTCCGCAAAATCCTTCAGAATATGCAGCAACGCTTTCCCAATCTTCTCGAAATTGGACTCCGTCACGTGAGGGATCTGCAGCATAGCTTCCTTGGTTGTCGGCATCTGTTGGCTCATGGCCCTGACGGCAATGGGGTTCATCACCGAGGTAGCCGACACCTCTATGGCCCCCGCATACCCCTTGATATCCCTCATGAGGGCGGCAAAACACTCGTCCTGCAGATTCTTCATATCCGTATTCCCCGGTTTCGTAGAGCTACTCACAGTAACCGTCAACTGAGCTTTAGTCGACTGCCTCATGGGGAACATGATCTTGTCGTTCGACCTCATGAACTCCCCCGAGTGCTTCGTAAGTCTGAGATAAGCCGCCGTCATATCGTTCTTGATGACCATCTCCTCCTCCAAAAGCCCATCAACCACCAATTTATGAATCAACCTCTCAACATCGCTCTTGTTCCAGGACTTCCCCCTCCCGTAGAGCGCAAGTTTGTTAGTCCCCGAGTCCCTGATCTTCTTGAGATCAGCCCCCTTGAACACATCCCCCAGTTGAATAGCTGTGATGTTCCCCCGGGTCTTCGAGATGTCTCGGACAGCCGTGATGATGGCCTTCACGTCCTCAGTGACGTCGATTTCTGTAAAGGTGTCGGTGTTCCTGCAGTTGTCGCAGATGGCCCCCCTGACAGCCCCACACTTGGACCGATCGAACTTCTCCCCGAAGTAATTCAACTGCAGCGATCTCCGACAGTCCGTCTTGTTCTCGCAGAACGCCACCATCTTGTAAAGATTCTCCATGTGGGTCTCGTAGACGTCCGCCGGTGGCCGATCCAGCTGCATCATCTTCCGGAGTCTGTGGACGTCTGCGTAGCTATAGAAGAGGATGCAGTCCGAGCTCTCGAGGTCACGACCAGCTCGTCCACTCTCCTGATAATACCCTTCTATGGACTTTGGTATGACAGCATGAATGACAAAACGAACATTCGGCTTGTCGATCCCCATGCCGAAGGCTATAGTGGCGCAAACGACCTTGATCTCCTCGGCAATCCACCTCCCCTGCACCTCCGACCTCTTGTTATCCCCCAGACCCGCGTGATAGCTCATCGCTTTGATTCCGTTCATTCTCATCTGGTCAGCGTAATCATCGCACTCTTTCTTAGACAGACAGTACACAATGCCGCACTCGTTCTTGTACTTCTCCTTAATCAGCGCTATGATCTTTGGGATTCCCTCTTTTCCCTTTTTCTCGGCAATCGTGTACTTCAGGTTAGGTCGGTTGAAGCTTGAGAGAAACCACTTGGGATTGGTCATTCCCAGTTGATGGAGAATGTCAGTTCTGACGCGAGGTGTCGCCGTCGCGGTCAGCGCCATCACCGGCACCTGGGGGTACTTGTTTCTCAGGACCTTGAGCTTTTTGTAATCGGGACGGAAGTCGTGGCCCCACTGGCTCACACAGTGCGCCTCGTCAATGACGAATCTAGAGAGCAGCTTCAATTGATAGAGACGAGTGAGAATTGACATGAATTTCTCGGAGGCAGCGATTTTCTCCGGCGTTACGTAAAGCAACTTGAGACTGGGATTTTCCAGAGCTAGCTCCCTGTAAACCCCGTTCATGTGTTTCTCAGAGGCGCCCCCTAGCATGTGGGCGGCTGGCACGTCCAGCGACACGAGTTTCTGCACCTGATCGTTTATCAGACTCTTCAGGGGGGAAATCACTATTGTGATTCCCCTTGTGAGAAGTGCCGGCAGTTGGTAACAGAGAGACTTGCCGCCACCTGTCGGCATGAGGATGAAGCAATCGTGATTCAACATGGCGGCGTTTATGGCTTGCAGCTGATTCGGCCTGAAGTCGAAGAGTCCAAAGGTCTTTCTGAATATCTTGAGCATTTCCGGGGAGTGGGAGTAGGCGAGGCCGTCGAAGTCCCCCGTCACTCCGTCGTTATGGACCTGCCCCATAAAATCCCCCATTTCGAAGATATCTTTTGCAGATCTCTTGCTTGTATCGGACCTTGAAGACGAGGCGGTGGAGATTTGAGAGCTCTTCGGAGGGTTCTTGTCCTCGTAGGCAAACGCCACGGAGGGAAACCTCTCCACTTGCTCGGAGTTCAATCGCTCTGGCTTAGACTTGACTTCGGGCAGCTCTGGGGAATCCCCTGGGTACTGAAAGCTGGTGCTGACGTCAGCAAGATCCACAGACATGTGCTTCATCATCTCGTAGGCGCGAATCTCCTCGTCGATGTCGATTGTTGGTTTTTTGACTGGAGTCTCCTCTCTGGGGGCTGGAGTGGAGAACTTCCTCTCCGGTTTCCTCGGGCTGGGAGCCGTCTGGGGGGACTCGGGGGTCTTCAAGGGCTGACGCTTCTCCCAGAGGGCCTCCAGTTGCTGCTTCGTCTGGGGCGCCATCTGGGCTTTCACTGGTCGCTTCACCTGGAAGCCGCTCTTCTTCACTGGCGCTGGTGATGGTGATGGGGAATCAAGCCCTGGCCTTCTGGAGGTGCCCTCTGGGGTCAGGGTCCCGTCGCTCTCTGGCTCGAATCTTGGAGACACTGGGGTCAATGGAGATGCCCTCTTGCTCTCTGCTTTCACCACGAAACCGTTGACCCTCGTGTCCTTCAGCTTGCAGGCCTCACGATTCTCTGATGATGTCGAAGGAAAGTACGAGGACATGTCATCGTCACTCGGGTAGTCGTCGACTGAGCTCTGAGCAACAACTGCTGTGTTCCTCCTCATCGTCTTGGTATCACTCAACTTTGGGTTCTCGAATCTGGATAAGGCTAGTGGTCGCTTTATGGGGGATGGCTCGAGCTCATCCTCGGTGGGGAAATCGTCTTCCAATACTGGTTTTTGGGCTTTAGGCTTCATCGGGGAAGCCTCGATATCCTGACTGCTGTCGTTCAATGGTGTCTTGCCCTTTGTATTCAGGTCGACTGACTCCAGCTGCTTGCTGACACGACGAGACTTCGCTTTCACGTGCTGTCGGAGGATTCTCAGTTCGCTGAAGACTTTTGCGTCGAACTGAGGAAATTTCTCCAGCACCTGCGTGGGGATCTTCTCCATGGCTGTGTAGAACTTGTCCAGGATCTCGATTTCGAGGCCTTGGAGACTGGTCTTCTGGTCCTGGAGGTGGGAAGCCTCGGTGGGGGTGGATGTCATGGCTGGGTTCTTCTTTACGGAGGCGATCCAGGGGGTCAGCTTCTGGTCCAGTCCCAGGGGCGTCAGGTTCACCTTGGGGTCTGGACCTTTCCAACGGGGACTCCTTGGTGATGACTCGTGGGGTCGAGGCTGGGGCTTCTTGGGGGTTAACTGCCTGGGGGAGTCGGTGGGGCTCTTCTTGGGTGGGGACTTCTTTGAAGTTGGGATGTCCTCTTCGTCTGAGGAGTCCTCGAGGAATCTGGGTCGCACTTGCCTTGGTTGCGGTCTAATAATGGGATATTCTGTCTTCACGTCTTTCTTGGCGGAGTTTAACTTTAGGGAGAGGGACTTGAGCTTTAGGGAGGGCTTCTTTGGAGTGAATTTATTAGAGTCTTGAGGGGTCTGGGTCTCGTCGGAGATCGAGACATCATTTGGTTTAGGCTTTGAGGGCTCCATTGGAGGGGTGCAGTTCTCCTTTTCACTGTCGATTTTTGAGGAGCCCTCCAGGGGACGATCCTCCAGGGAGTCGTCTATGTAGATTGGCTCGGACTGTCCTGAATTATTTTTTCTGGCCTTCTGCGGGGAGGTGAAGGACGAGTCTGTCGAGTGCTGGAGTGAATATGAAATAGATGATGGACGAAATTGTTATTCGTCTCCAGAGTTTGTATCAAGGATGTAGGGTCGTGGGAAATGTGGAGAAAAGAGTAAGCAGCAGTAGAGGGGTTTTAATGACAAATGCCAGTTTACGTTCTACTGGTTTCCCCGATCAAAATTGATTAGAGTGAGTCAAGATTGTCAAGGGATCCCAATGTCAGTGGTCACGAAGACGTGAATCATGCTTTATTCGAGTGTCAAATTCACTCCAAACACTGACCAAAATTAAAGTAGCTTATCCTTCGGCCGGGCTACGCTGTACTTTTGGATATTTTCAGTTTTTAAATTTCTCAACTAAATTGCATGGAAAAAATTTGAAAAAATTCATACCCAGTCAGTATTATCTAAATTAAATTTCGTAAAATATTTATATATTTTCAAACATTTCCCTTTTATAAATAAATAATAAAACTTGCTTGCAAAACGGTGGATTATTTTCTATGAGGTGTCAAAAAAATTATTGATTTTAATCTTTGATTACAAGGGAAATGTTGATTTTCACATAAGACACTGGGTTAAATCCTGATTTTTAAACATTTCTTCTTTGAATAACCAAAACGATAATTAAATTGAGAAAAAATTAGAATTCCGAATCTAATTGATTTTTCTGCAATTTTTTTGCAGTTTTCAATAATCTTCGAATTTGCCGTAAGGGTAGAGCTACTTTAATGGAAAGAATTGCTAAATGTGCTGCCTTCCCAGTGCACATTAACTGCATATTATTATCCATTGACCCCAGGACCATAACGTAGTGACTAACCGAATTCCCCAAGAAAAGTGAATTGAAAATATGAAGGAGCATTTAAGCGAAAAAAAGGGAATAGTTGGATAACTAAGATAGACTTCAAATGTATACGAATAAATAATGTATGTAACCATGTTTTTAGCCAACAAATTCAAAAACTAGAGTTTTCTTTCTCCACATTTGTCACGACTTCCGTAATAGATTATGGTGGGGAGTTAATTGGGAGGGGTACATACAATTGATATAATTGAATCTCGCTTTTCGACGGCTTCATCGGGACCATAATCGAAGGAATCCTCACGCATTAGAGAATCGCAAGCCATGGCTGTTTCTTCGAGTTTGGTGGATCCATTGGCGATGTCGCTGTGAACCGTGGAATATGCAAGCGTAAAGGGTGGAATTCGAAAAAGTGATTTTATGGAGAAAAATGAAAATTTTTTACTTCAGTTTCTTAAATTTTTTTTTAAAAAGACTAAATCAATCCCAATCTCTCAAGGGTGTTCTCTATTTTTGCTGGACTTCTAGTTACAAACATGTCCATGCAGAGCAAGCCAGCAATTTTTCCATCACAAGAGTATTTTATAAATAATTGGGAAACAGGAGAAAGAAATGAGCACATGAACTAGTAAATATCCATTTCCTTTCAGTTTCAGAAACAGGAATTCAAGAATATTTTGTCAACCAAAATAATGAACTTTGGATAATTATTTTGGAGGATATCTCATGGGATTGTTCCCAGCTTTGAAAATTACTTGGCGATCAAAAACCAGTGAAAACATGAAATTTTCTTTCCATCAAAGTTTCACACTTCTTCATTCTAAAAAAAAGAATTGAAAAGACTAAATGTCAATGCCAATCTCTCTGGGGTGTTCTCTATTTTTGCTGGGCTTCTAGTCACAAACATGTCCATGCAGAGCAAGCCAGCAATTTTTCCATCACAACAGTATTTTATAAATAATTGGGAAACAGGAGAAAGGAATGAGCACATGAACTAATAAATATCCATTTCCTTTCAGTTTCAGAAACAGGAATTCAAGAATATTTTGTCAACCAAAATAATGAACTTTGGATAATTATTTTGGAGGATATCTCATGTGATTTTTCCCAGCTTTGAAAATTACCTGGCGATCAAAAACCAGTGAAAACATGAAATTTTCTTTCCATCAAAGTTTCCCACTTCTTCATTCTCAAAAAAAAAAAAAAATTGAAAAGACTAAATGTCAATGCCAATCTCTCTGGGGTGTTCTCTATTTTTGCTGGACTTCTAGTCACAAACATGTCCATGCAGAGCAAGCCAGCAATTTTTCCATCACAACAGTATTTTATAAATAATTGGGAAACAGGAGAAAGGAATGAGCACATGAACTAATAAATATCCATTTCCTTTCAGTTTCAGAAACAGGAATTCAAGAATATTTTGTCAACCAAAATAATGAACTTTGGATAATTATTTTGGAGGATATCTCATGTGATTTTTCCCAGCTTTGAAAATTACCTGGCGATCAAAAACCAGTGAAAACATGAAATTTTCTTTCCATCAAAGTTTCCCACTTCTTCATTCACAAAAATAAAAATAAGCAATTGAAAAGTTTAAATGTCAATTCTAACCTCTCTGGCGGGTCCTCAATTTTCCCTGGAATTCTAGCGGCAAACATGTCCCCACAAATTTGTAAATCTCCTCCAACAGACGCCAATTTACCTCTCAAACTCGGCATTCAATTCACATAACTAAAACCGCGATAATTAACGTCTTCATTTCTCCCGCAATACACTTCACTCACGGGGGGAGGGGGAGTTCGTTTCTACAATTTCAAGATGGACTCAGTCCGTTTTGGAGGCGTTCTAGGGAAAGTGGCGTCAGTACCGGAGGCGGTGGAACGACTGGAACGGATGGGCGCGAAAATTTGTGGTCACATTCTCGGACGGGCAGGGAAGCGATTTTGCTCGTTTTACGTCGACATAAAATCGTAAATTTCAACCAATGACAGTCCTGAATTCGGAATACTAAACTAGGATTGCTTGAAATTTATGATTTTATGTCGACATAAAACGAGCAAAATCGCTCCCCAGATTCTGATGTTATGTGGTCAAACAGGGCTCGATATTGCAGATGTCCTCTGAAATAGCCTTACCAATCGAACTTTCTAGTGCAGCGGGACGTTGAGAGACGGCGGGATTATTCTCATTTTAAGCGGAATTACAAACTGAATCAAACTAGATCAATAGGTTGTCAGCCGGAAACTATTATTAATAAACAAATGACGATGATAAATCACTTGTAATTCGTCAGCAGATGAATGAAATGCATTTTTCAGTGTTTAAGGATTACTCAATTGATTAGTAATTTTTAAAAACTAACGGAGTACTAATTGAGAATCAACATTCACTTGACAAAAAAAAGAATTCGATTGATTTGAATTAAATTCGATTTTGCCGAAAGTCGACTTTCCCCCTGGAAAAATCCGAGATCTGACCCTTGATCCAGGTGAAAAAAAATTTGTTTGAAGATGAAATATCCAAAAAAACGAAACAACTCCTACTGGAGAATGTTCCTAAGGACTCCCTCAATCCCTCAAAAAATTCCCACCCCCCTGGGAAACTTACTTGAGGGTAATACTAGGGTGAAAAGCTATTTTTTTGCGATTTTTAGACGAAAAAAAATTTTTTGAACACAAACTATCCAAAAAAACAAACCATTTCTATTGGAGAATGTTTCTAAGGACTCCCTGAATCCCTTAAAAGAATACCAACCCCCTGGGAAACGTATTTGAGGGTAATACTAGGGTGAAAAGTTATTTTTTTGCGATTTTGACACGAAAAAAAAATTTTTGAACACGAAATATGCAAAAAAACCAAACAACTTCTACTGGAGAATGTTCCTAAGGACTCCCTCAATCCCTTAAAAAATTCCCATCCCCCTGGGAAACTTACTTGAGGGTAATACTAGGGTGAAAAGCTATTTTTTTGCGATTTTGACACGAAAAAAAAATTTTTGAACACGAAATATGCAAAAAAACCAAACAACTTCTACTGGAGAATGTTCCTAAGGACTCCCTCAATCCCTTAAAAAATTCCCATCCCCCTGGGAAACTTACTTGAGGGTAATACTAGGGTGAAAAGCTATTTTTTTGCGATTTTGACACGAAAAAAAAATTTTTGAACACGAAATATGCAAAAAAACCAAACAACTTCTACTGGAGAATGTTCCTAAGGACTCCCTCAATCCCTTAAAAAATTCCCATCCCCCTGGGAAACTTACTTGAGGGTAATACTAGGGTGAAAAGCTATTTTTTTGCGATTTTGACACGAAAAAAAAATTTTTGAACACGAAATATGCAAAAAAACCAAACAACTTCTACTGGAGAATGTTCCTAAGGACTCCCTCAATCCCTTAAAAAATTCCCATCCCCCTGGGAAACTTACTTGAGGGTAATACTAGGGTGAAAAGCTATTTTTTTGCGATTTTGACACGAAAAAAAAATTTTTGAACACGAAATATGCAAAAAAACCAAACAACTTCTACTGGAGAATGTTCCTAAGGACTCCCTCAATCCCTTAAAAAATTCCCATCCCCCTGGGAAACTTACTTGAGGGTAATACTAGGGTGAAAAGCTATTTTTTTGCGATTTTGACACGAAAAAAAAATTTTTGAACACGAAATATGCAAAAAAACCAAACAACTTCTACTGGAGAATGTTTCTAAGGACTCCCTCAATCCCTCAAAAAATTGCCAACCCCCTGGCAAATGTACTTGATGGTAGTACAGGTGAGAAAACTCACTCACAATATTGCAATGAAAAACAGGCCATGTTAAGACCATCTATTCTTGAAACCAGTGACTGAAAAAAGAAAATTCGTGTATGTACATCATTCATTTCGTGAAGTTATTTACAATTGTAATAAAGAATTGATGACTAATATATACAAAAACTGCACAACAATTTTCTCACAGTTTTACAAAAATTAATTTCAGCCTTCAATAAACTCTGGATTGTAGAATGGCTTTCTGTATCAGTGAGGAGAACGTCGAGTTGACTTCCTGGCAGAGAATTTCCGCCGATTTATCCCCCAGAGCAGCTTGAGCAGAGCTGACCCTTCCCAATTGCAGGAGAAGTCCAGTTGTGTCTTCAGCGAGAGGAGGAAATGCCAGGCAAATTCTCGTGAGGGCTGAGAGCACAGGCATGAAGAGAACGACACGATCCTTAGCTGGGAGGACCCCAAGGAGGGTTATCAATGTGTTTATCGCCAGTCGGGAGACACTGAGAGCCTTTGGCAATGCATACTGCACTGCCAGGTGGGACGCAAGATCAACTGCAAACACTTGCTTCTCTGGCTCGGGCTGAGATAGCAACTCTGGGATCCAGTCCAAACAGATGTGCATCGAGGGGATGCCGGATACTGTTATTGGGAGGAGTTCACGGGGATAGCCCTGGAAAAATCCATTGTTTGTTTATTAAAGTACTTCCACAGTATACTTTTGGATGATAGAGTGGGAGTAAACATCAAAGGTGCCGACACTCCGCTGCTTCGTTCGAAAAAAGAATATGCAAATTTTAAAGATTCAAGAGTGAATGAAAATTTTGTTGATCGGATTCATTTTTCTTCATGAGTCATAATTATTCAACAGATAATTTTTTTTATCCTCAAAAAATTTTGAGGATAAAAAAAATTTTTGAGGATAAAAAAAAATGAAAAATTTAAAGATTCAAGAGTGACTGAAAATTTTGCTGATCGGATTCATTTTTATTCATGAGTCATAATTATTCGGCCGGCAATTTTTTTTATTCTACATTTTTTTTTCTTCATTTCTTCATTTATTCAGAAATTGAATAAGCAATATGCACCGAATGTAGACGTAAGCATGAGGTTGTACAGTTTCATATTTTTACAAAATGCTTTATTTGCCTGGGCATTCGAAATTTCATTGGGCATGAAAAAAATCATATTTTTGGAAAATGGATAAACATCCTTAAATGTTTTCGTACGTGTTTTCATACCTGAAAATGAACGAGTTTTGCCAGTGGTGGGTCAGCGATGAAAACTTGATGAAGATAGGAGCAAACCACACTCCTAATCTCCCTCAGTGACCACATCTGTCCAGGAACTCGTTGGTCCTCATCAGTCTCCAAGCAAGCCTCCAAAAGAATTTGAACCGCTGCACTCTCTTGACCCGCAACCAGTGCCGCTCTCAGATCCTCCCTCTCTACTTCACTCGTCAGTTGTCCCACTTTTTCTGTCAAAGGTCTGTCCTGCATGTGTCTTGATAACTGTGACGTTGAGGCAGCAAGTGTTGCTTGAAGAATTCTGAAATTAGAATTGGAATTCAATGGGAATATGCAAATGACAAAGGGCTTTCGTTACAACATAGCCAATACATTTTCGTATTAAATTAACAATTTCTTTCCGAATGGAACTTCTATGACGATGAACTTTAAACTGATTCCAATGATTCATTGAATTCTCATAATATCACTTTCAATCGCCCAATTTATTCGCATTTAATTCATCACTTGAACAACTCATGATGAGTTTAATGTTCTTCGATAAATTTTGATTGAACGTTACAATGAATATCAAATATTCTCCTGTTCTTTATTTTATTATATTATCAAACGGCAACAAATGAAACTATAGCGAAAGAATGAGAAAATTTATGCATAAGAATTTCTATAGAAAAATAAAGATATATTGACTTCATTCTATCAAATATCCATAAAAAAATTAAATAATCAAATCCCGTAATCTTTCATAGAATTATTTGAAAAAAACGTAATGGAATCATTTTGAAGAATTTCAATAAAAGTTCAATAGAATTATTATACAATTCCAATTGAAGTTTAATAGAATATCTCAGAGGTGTTACGTTTTTCTATCAATTTTTCTTATAATTATTATTAAAAAACTTTATTGGAGCGAACAAAGTGAATGAAACAAAAGTCTCTGGACAGTTTCAGGTGTTGATAAACTGTGATGAATCTAAATCTTACCGCAGAATGACTGATAACACCGGGGCACATCTGAATACTCTGGTATCACATCTGAGCACTTGGAGAGGGTCGAGAACAATGTTCTCTTGCGTAAGACGAACATTCTGAACCGTTGGATTTTCAATCAAAAGTGCGTTTGTTGACATTACCCATAAACACCTCGGTAGAACAGTGTTTAATCTCAGCCAGACTTGTTTGTACAATTCTGAAAATAAATTCAATCATTTAACAAAAGTTATAAACAACTTATGCAGCGTAAACAAAGCAGCCAATCACAGCCCAATCAAAAAAATTTTCCACGACGTCCGATTACATTATTACATTTCAGAATAAAATTAATCCCCTCCTCCCACGTACGATTAAATTCCATATGAAGATATGTTGAACTTTTTTTGAAATTTCGATTCGTTTCTCGTCGATTTTATTAATAAAAATTCAATAAGAAAGGAAAACAATATTTTCTTTTCCTTGTGATGATGAATTAAAAACTCAATAAAATGAAACTTTAAATTTTCTAATAAATAAACATTACTAAATTTCAATCAATTAGTCAATCTGCCTATCTAAATTACTGGTCAATAAATAATTTAGAATTTTAGTATTTAAACTGATGATTCCTTCAATAATTAAAATTCAAGACTGACATTAACGAATTGACTACTTAATAAATTATCGGTAATTATAATTTACGGAAATGGCAATCCCTGTTTTTCAATAAAATTTTTTATGCGTGCTGCACTCCGCCAAATAAACTCCCATTACCCACCCCACCATTGGACTCACCTTGAATATACCTCGGCACCTTCTCATCCAGAATGACCTTGAAATAATGTACAAAAGTTTCCGCATGTGGCCAAATATCAGTCGGTTTCATAGACATCAACTGCCTCAGCAGTCTCCCAGTCCTCGACGGACAGCTCTTGATATGTCCAAAAGCCTCAATAATCGAGACATCATTAATCACCACATTTTCATAATTAGCAGCTGGCGATTCGATATTAATCATCTCATCATCCAGCCAATCGTCAACGAGACTCAAATGTGGAAAGTGCGTTGCCAGTAATCTAAGCAGTGGTGAAAATAACCCAGCATAGCTGGCCTGATCCCTCTGAACCTGTTGCAATAAATACTTAATCGGCAGCTCCGATAAAAATTCCGTTGAATAACTCTTAACTTTCCTCCCCTGCGATATAAAATTATGCATATTGGACAGTCTGACATCCTCATAAAGCAGAAGATAATAAAGAAATAATAGCTGTGACGTTAGCGATGGCTTAGAGGTATCAACATCCAGATAATCCGTCTCCATATCCATGATATTAAGTGCACTCTTCTTAACATCAAAATTCGCCCCAAACACACTATTCTGAAAGACCTTTCTAATCTCATCCTCCATGATAGGTTTATTGGTGTGCTCTGAACTCTTGTGATTGACAACAAGAATTGAATTAACATAAACCTCAACGAGAGCGGGTAGAACCGGATGTAGTGGTGGAACGCTGTTACAAAGTTGCTTGTAAATCCAAGTCTTGATGGGCACTCGATGCTTGGCAAATGCCCTGGACTTGAGCAGCTGATGTATACAATGAACAGGCAAAAAGCCCGGTATATTGGCATTCAAATTAGCAGTGACAGGCACCTTGACAGCATGAGCAGTGACAATTTGTTCGGTGAAAATCTCCTGCATGAATATCTGCTTCATTCTCGTCAAATTATTCGGCCTAATCGGTATCTTCATGCCTAACGTAGCACAAACAAGATCGCATATAGCTGACAATTGATTGCTGTGAAAGTGAATGGCCATCAGCAGCAGCATCTCTCCAAAACTGGCTGTTACACCACTAGCACTTTCGAAGTAAGCCTCCTCCCTCACCAGCCACTGCACCCACTCAATGCTCTTCTTTTCGAGATTGTGATGGCCGATCAGTGAGGGACAAGCTATCAGCATGCAGAGGCCAAGCGAGACAAATCTGACGCCAGCAGGTGAGGGAGGCGGGTGAGAGGTCAAGAGTTGAACGATCATTGGGACTTCGTCGTCCTGAAATTTAATTCCTCCTATTCCCCTCAGTGCGCAGTAGAGTCGAAGGAGAGCACTTGCTTGGACCACTTGACACTCCGCCAATTGGCAATCGGGTGATCTAGGGACAATTGCCCACAGTCGTACCAACAGCTCGTCTCGGAGGGCTTGCAGCGCTGTGTGGGATTCCCCTTTTCGTTTCTGGCCATTTCGAATGAACATGGCAATCCACGTTCTTACCTGCTGATCACTTCCCAGTAAAAGTCCTGAGACGAAGGCGACTGTGTCACTGTCGAGTTGTGAGGATTCCAAACACTCTCGCTCGAGGCTCAGAGTGATGGCCAGTGCTGGCATTCGACAGAGCTCAACGCACTTTGCTCGAACTGCCAGAGCTCGACTGGGATTCATTCGGCAGAGCATTGTCAAGGCTTGGGTGCGAATTCTTCCGAGGGCTGACTCCTCCTGACGCTCGCCATTCGCGATCAGGTGGGTGCACACTTCGGAGAAGGAGTCTGGACTGTTGGCGACTATCCAGCAGATGATCTCCGGACCGTGTTTCACGTGCAGAAGGGTCTCGGCTATGTCGCGGATGGAGAGGAGAGCTGGGAGCTCCGCCAGGGCTATGCAGATCACGTAGGCTATCTCCTCCATGTAGACGGCATTGTCGAAGAGGTCTGATTGCTTTATGAGGAATTCATTGTTCTTGTGGTACTCGTGGATCTGGGAGGAGACGAACAGGAGCTCGCTCAGGACCAGGCGAATTCGACGGGTGGATTCACTGCGCTCGAATTCTAGGGCCAGACCGCTCTGCAGGGATTGCGCGAGGATACTGTCGCCCTGGGTGTTTCCCAGTTTTTGTCTGGAGGGGACGTGCAATTGAAACCCCGAGTTAAAAACCCGAGTTTGTAGCAAAGATGTCAGGCAAGATATGAATGTTTTTTTGGGCTCAAATGAAAGAGCGGGTCGAGAAATGACGTGCTAGAGCCTCTAAACATGACAAATGTCTCTAAAGATGATATCTGTTTTCAATTGAA